GAGAAGTGACAGAAATGGGGACTCCATCTCACTTGGAATGGGACCCGGGCAAGCCCTCTCCTTCTCTAAGTGCTAAGATCTAAGATCTAATTTGCAATGTCTTGAACCCAGGAAACAATCTAAAACATAAAGGAGACCACCACAGAGGCCGCCAACATTTTATTCCACCCAGTAAGGAATTGAAGAGAAGAAAACAAAGCCAAGTTAACACCCACTGTCATGAAATAATAGACATTCTAACCCCAAACACAGGGAGGACAGGCCCAGGCAGCAGTGACTCATGTCTGCAATCCTAGCTACTCAGAAGGCTGAGATCTGAGGATCCCAGTCTGAAGCCAGCCCAGGCAGACTCATTTCCAATTAACCAACAGAGAGGCAGATATGGAGGTATGGCTCAAGTGGTAGAGCACCAAGCACCAGCCTTGAGTAAAAGAGCAAACAAAAGAGTAAGACCCTGAGTTCAAGCCCCAGTAAATGAGTGAATGCATGCCTGTATGCTGTCTGTCTGTCTGTCTGTCTCTCTCTCTCTCACACACACACACACATACACACATATACATACACACAAAGCAGGAAGGACATAAAGCATGATTGCTTGGCTGTGGGAACTTTCTATGCAATCATTGCTAATGTGCTAAAGTTGCATATGTGATCCCTGAAGCCATGACCCAGAAGAGTCTCCAGGGCAGAGACACAGTTTCAGCTTGCTAACCCATCTCTTGGCCGGGCACCAGTGGCTCACTCCTGTAACCCTATTCAAACTGTGGTCTAAGGATCACAGTTCAAAACCAGCCCTGGCAGAAAAATCCTTGTGAGATTCTTATCTCCAGTTAAAAAACCCAAAGTGAAGCTGTGGCTCAAAGTGGTAGAGTACTGGCCTTGAGAAAAAGAGCTCAGGGACAGCACCCTGAGTGCAAGCTCCACACTGACAAAAAAAAAAGCCTCTCTCAGCCACTAAGGAAGGGCACCTAACCCACAATGCTTCCAGGACCCCCTCCCCTTTCCTCTCCACCTGCTTCCCTCATACCTTGCATCTGCCCTCATCTTTTTCTGTTCCAATCTCCCAGAAAAATAATTCCTTTCTGCTGGCATTTAGATACGGGTTCAGCATGTCCCCAAAGATTCCTATTTGGGAAGCTTGGTCCCCAGTGTGGTAATGTTGGGAGGGAATGAGACCTTTAGAGGTGGGGGCATAGTGGAAATGGTAAGGTCATAGGTTGGATTGCCTTTGGAAGGGATTAATTAGTTCTTACCGGGTTCTAGTGGGTCCCCGAGAGTGGGTGATCATAAAAGAGAAAGACTGGCCCCTTCCCAGTCCCTCTGGCTTCCTGCCCCAATAACTGCTCTTCTCTCATGCATACTCCTGCCAAGACACATCCACCATGACTCGACAAGGCTGGGGGCACCTGCCAGGGTTGGTGCCATGCTGTTTGTGCTGTCAGCCTTTAAAATGGAGCTGAATAAACCTCTTTTCCTTACAATGTATCCAACCTCTGGCATTTTATCACAAAAGAAAACAGACTAGGACACTTTCCTGGCTCTAGGTTTGAGGCTTTCTACCCAGAGGTCACCATGAGCCAAGGCTCACACAACAGCACCTACCTCATCTAAAACAGGCAGATGCCAGGCGACAGTCCACAGCCATAAAATCCTGGCTCCTCAAGAGGCTGAGATCTGAGGACCACAGTTCAAAGCCAGCCAGGGAAAGAAAAGTCTGTGAAACTCTTACCTCCAAGTAACCACCAAAAAGCTGGAAGTGGAACTGTGGCTCAACTGGTAGAGCACCTGAGTTCAAGGCCCAGTACCAGCAATAAATAAATAAATAAGCAGCAGTTGCCATTCCGCCATGGCTGCCCTGTTCCTCCCAGATCCCCTTTCGGGAAGCTGTATGTGTGGTGGAGTACAATGTCCAGCTGTTACTCACTGAGGCCGCACATCAGCTACAAAGAACTGAGGTCAATGGCCACACCCCATCAACTCCACAATCACATTCCCTGCAGCCTTTCCACTTCCTGACCACTCAGGAGTTTCCCATGCACAATCTCGATACAGCAAACTGTGTGAAGGTCCCAGTAGAGGTGAGGAATTTAGAATATTTTCTTTTCTCTTTTAACAAAGACTGGCCTTTAGGACTATTGTCTAGCTGAGGTCCCTGATGGCCTGCTCTGAGCAGCAAAGCTGATCACCACCCCTCATTCCCAGTGGCCCCCACCCTCTCCTGCCCCGAGGCTGCAGGCCTTGAGCGCATATTTGAAAAGCTGCAAGAACATATGATTTAGTGGGGAAATAAAAACTCAGATTTAGTAGCTCCAAAATATAATCCCCATTACAAACACAGAGGAGGTGGCAGGATGTTGGGAGGGGGGGACTTGGCCTATTCTGGGCTTGTGGGGCTGGTGCCATGCTCTCAGCCCTGAAGTAGGTTTGCATCCAAAAGCTCAACAAATACTGTCAGCCCCATAGCCTGAGGCCAGGACAGCAGAGAGTGGGGAGAAGAGCTTTTCTTAGGCTTACATTCTCATTTCCATGTCATTTACCCTCTAGGACCAGGAACCCGCCAGCAGGAGACAGAAAGGAGTTGACTTGGGACCCTCAAATAAGAGACTGAAAGCCAAACAGCCTGTGTACCTGCTCCAGAGAGGAGATAGCTTTGTGCTCCAGGGTCCAGCCAGAGCCGGGGCTGGTTATGTCCCTAGCTGACTCTGAAGGGGCAGGAGTCCTGTGTCCCTCCAGTTCCCCCCCCACACAGGAAGAGGGGCCCTGGAAGCACCTCTCCCCAAGGACAGGGGATGGACGACTCCTTCCCCCTGCACCCCAGTCCCAGCACCTCAACACAGCCAGCAATGGATAGAATCATAATGCTGAATGTATTCAGGAGTGCAGTGAGAAAAATCTAAAAGAAGCTCTTTTGATTTCAGTATACACTGAAGTTTCATGATATATAGCTTAATGCTGTTTTTATTCTGAATTGCATAGACTGCGTCATCTTTTCAACACTAGAAAACCTTAGAAGTCTTTCCTAGCTATGCAGGGAGGTAGGAGGCCAGGAGTCTGGACACTGCACAGGGGGAGGGAGAAAAGCAGACAGGGGTGCCTGGGAAAGAGGCTGCACAGCCAGGAAAAACCCAGGCTATGCCAGGCACAGCCTGAGGCCACTATTTGAGGGCTGCTGAAAAATAGCTCTCCTAGACTTTCATGAGGCATCCTACACCACCCTGAAGAGCCGGCCCTGTCCCCAGCTAGAATGCCACAGGTATGCATGGGTTTGCACGGGTGTGTACTTGCGTGTGAGTGAATGAGCACTCACATCCGTCAGCCACACATATACAATCACTTAGACGCATCACCATCACTACACACATACATACACATACACACTCGTGTACAAGGGTGCACATACACACACCGTGCAGCTCATTAGTGGTTGAATCTCAGCCCTTCCCAGGAATCACAGACAAGACTGTGAGCCCAGTCTTCATCCTAAGACAATGATTTTAAAGGGAGACCCCTGGATCAGAGGGTCCTCACCTGGGAATGGGCTACAACTGCTTGAGGTTTGGTTTTCCTCTTGCAGAGCCCCGAGCTAACCGTGCGCGCGCGCGCAGAGAGTAGGAGGGGGGTGTTCCTCCTGAGACCCTGAGTCCATGCTGTGCTTTTTAATGTCCCTCTCCAGTGCTGAGTAGACCACATGCAATCAAGCTACTGAAAACTTTCAAGTTTCTGAGAGATGCCCGCAACCTTTCCCTGTTTTCCAAATGGGGTGGCTGGTTCCCTGTTAATGCTTCCCACATCCTGACTAACCTCCCCACCCCTCCTACCCCCCCTTAGTGACTAACAACCTTCACAGCTCTACTTTATTGGTTTTGCTATGGAGTTTTCCCTGAAGATTTCATTTGCAAACTCTGTTATAAACACAAAGCTTGAACAAAATATAAAACTTCTAGTTTTAAATTGGGAGAAACTAAGGCTAAAAATGATCAGGATTCCTGGAAGCCAGCCAGCAAATCAACAGAGCCAGGGACCAGGAACCTAGCCCTTTGGGATGTGGGCACAGGAGCTAGCCCCTCATCTGATTGCCCCTCCACCATCAAATGCACCCCAAAGCCCTCTCTCCCCTTCCCCCGGATATTTCTGAATGTCTCACTGAGACTTTCTCTTCCGAAGGATTTAAGAGACTTTCCTGGGGCCCTAGAGCCTAACTTAAACTCCCTCTGGCTCCCATTTGTGTGCTCAATCACTTGCTAGATGCAGCTCCTGTCCAGGCTGAAGTAAACACTGCTGAGAACAGTACCCTGTGGACCACCCCCACCCATCATCCTGTGCCTACTGCCCTAGGTCTCTCCTGGCCTCCAGCCTGTGTCTGAAATCTTTCAAGAGATGAGAGGTCTCAGCAGGGGGCGGGGCAAGGGAGGGCGGGACAGCCCCACCTCAGGAGCCCACAGCACCTCCACCAAGGCCGGAGCTGGCCTTGCAAGGAAGAGCAGCTCAGAGAGGCCACTAAAGGCTGATAGCTAGCAGAGCAGGGAACCCCCAACCCAGCTTGTACCCCTCCAGAGCCTGGAGAGACAGATGACTTGTAATACCCAGATTCCTACTGTTCAAGTTCTGGGTTCAAGTTCTGGCTTCTGACCAACTTACTGAATGACCTCAGCAGCTCGTCTTCTCCCATGGCCTCTCAGTTTGAACCTGGGCGATACCAGGACGGCTCCTACCCTGAAACCTTGGTTGGAATTCTGGTTTGATGTGTTTTGGAAGATCTGGCAGGAGCCTGGGAACCTGACGTGGATTAGACGCCTTTGGATCGGACTTTCTGCTCAGCCAAATTCACACTGGATTGAGACAAAGGCGTGGCCTGCAGCCTGGCCGTCCCTCACTTTCCCCTTTCCTCTCTCCACCCCTTCCACCCCCCATAAATCCATGCACCAAAGAGGATTTCTCTTCCGTTGCAAGTCTAGGAGGAGCTGCCAAGGGAAGCCCAGGACCTGGGCTTAGAAACAGCCATGGGGGGCTGTGCCATGAGGACTGATACCAACATCTCGTCTGGTCCCGAGGGCAACGCCACGGGCATCACAGCCTTCTCCATGCCCAGCTGGCAGCTGGCATTATGGGCCACTGCTTATGTGGCCCTGGTGCTGGTGGCTGTGACAGGCAACGCCACCGTCATCTGGATCATCCTGGCTCACCAGAGGATGCGTACAGTCACCAACTACTTCATCATCAACCTGGCGCTGGCCGACCTCTGCATGGCTGCCTTCAACGCTGCCTTCAACTTCATCTATGCCAGCCACAATATCTGGTATTTTGGCCGGGCCTTCTGCTACTTCCAGAATCTCTTCCCCATCACAGTCACATTTGTCAGCATCTACTCCATGACCGCCATCGCCGCTGACAGGCAAGAGCAGAGCAGGGAAGGGTGTAGCCGTGTCACTTTGCTGGGGTTCTGGTGGAGGGGTGATGGGCCTGTGGCCCCACAGCAAGGGAAGGGAGAAACGTTGCTCCAACCTGGGTGTGATTTAAAGTTATGACTCTGGAGGACAGACCTAGGGAACTGTGGAGTTAAAGCACGTAGAGCTGAAGTTAGACTCAGGGGTAGTTGTACTGTTTTCAGAATCCTTCTTGTTCTTTCTTTGTATTTGACCTTTGTTTTGGTATCTTTCTGTCACTCGGAAGAAAATGCTCCTATTGTTTTATAGTCTATATAAATGGCGTGAGGGGGGAAAAATGAAAGTTATATGTAGTTTGTATCTACTTTTAACAAGGCTAATCATTCTCCCCCACACTGCTTTCAGGGGCTCTGACTGGAAGCCTGGGAAGAAAGAGCATAGGGCAGGGGTGTTAGCCACACCCAGGCTGGACTGGAGTCCTTGGATAAGCTGCTCAGGGCTGGCAGGGCTTGGTTTCACAATGGAAGGGGACCTGGGTGCCTGGGGAAGGGCTGTGAAGATTGACAGCACTCCGGATGGGACATAGGAAAGACCTCCAGTGTGGGGGAGGCAGGGGCCTCGAAATGGGCTCCGCAGTGTGTGAGACCTGCAGTCTCCTCACTCCAACCTTCCTAGCAACCTTTACCCTCACTGCTTAGCTGCAGCTGTTTAAGATGGAGTTTCCCAGAATATTTCATTTAGGGACATTTCTTCCATAGGTAAAAATGGGAAGAAACATTTGAACATCATTTAACTTTTACCTTTACACCCAGGGAAACCAAGGCTAGAGACGGTGTATATTACCTGAGTTCCATCATCAAGTTAGAGGCAAAGCCAGGGCCTGGAGCCCCACCCTCTGGGCTGTGGGTACAGGAGACAGCCCCCCACTGACCACAAATACACCTTAAGGCCCCCTGGATGTTTCTTAACATCCTATTCAAATTTTATTTTTATTTTTATTTATGCAACAAATACTTGGATGGTCCCTTTGTGTTGAGCACAGTTTGGGCACCTGTACAGACATATGCCAATGGGCAAAACTACAACTCCTGGCTTCTCAGAACTTCTATTTAAAGGGTGGGTGGGCTACAAAGACAGGGTGGAGCCAGGAGACCAGGAGGGAGAACAAATAATCTAGGAGGGAGAGTTGGAGCAGGATGGCATTCATTCCTCCATTCTTCACTGTTACTCACTTAACAAATGCATGTCCAGTGCCTGCTATGTACAGACATTATTCTGAGCATTACAGGAAAAATAATCAGTACAACCTAACCGCACTCTGGTACACACATCGGATACCATAGGTTCCTTTCTAATGAGTGTGTGTGTGTGTGTGTGTGTGTGTGTGTGTGTGTGTATCTGAGATTTGAACTTAGGGCCTTGCACTTAATAGATTGGCATGATGGCATGGTACTACTGAGCTCTGCCTCCAGTCTTCCTCTCTAATACCTTTTCACAGCTCTTGTGACCTCAAAATACAACATAGAGCCGGTGCTAGTGGCTCACACCTATAATCCTAGCTGCTCAGGAGCCTAAGATCAAGGATTGGAGTTCAAAGCCAGCCTGGACAGGAAAGTCCTTAAGATTTTTATCTCCAATTAACTACCAAAAAATTGGAAGTGGCTCTTTAGCTCAAGTGATAGAATGCCAACCTTGAAGTAAAATAAAAATAAAAAAAAACTCAGGAACAGATCCCAGGCCCTGAGTTCAAGGCCCAGAACCTACACACACACACACACACACACACACACACACACACACCATTACCACCACCACCACTACCACCACCACCAATAACAACAACAACAAAAACACAGATTTTATTTATTCATGTGCTTATGGTTTAAATTCCTAGTAGAGCAGTCACATTTACCTTGTAAATGGATGTCAGGGTAGGTCTCAGTGGGTGGGATTTGGACAAAGATGACAGGAAAGGATGCGTGCGTTGCACTCTGCAGGGGTGAATGTTCTAGAAGAAAACCAGAGGGAAATGTTCACCAGGCACAGAGTCTTTGTGCCCAAGATGCTGACAGAACTTCCTTACTTGGATTACATAAAATTCAGGGCTGTGTTCTACTATCCTGGCCTTGTCCCAAGGCTCAGATTAACCCCCGGGGAGAGAAGATCCTGGAGCCATCCAGGACCCAAACCAGAATTCTGGTGAATTTAGGGCACAGAATAAATAGGGATAACCACATTCTCCAAACCCTGAGTCCCTGTTGTCTTCAGATTCTCCATTTCCTTCACACAAGAACCTAATACAAGAATTAGCAGTATCCATCTCTGAAGTTAACGTGGAACATTAACAGCAAAGGCTAGTTGCTTGACATCCTGCTGTTAGAAAGCAGCAGACAGGATTGGAATCCAGGTCAGTATCCAAAGTGGCCCAAGCTGCCCCTCATGGGATAAAGGACCTCTTCCCCTTCCCACCTTACCCCCCAAGAACAGCAGTGAACCTAGAGGCTCTAACGTTGGCCCTCAGTTACCTACAGCTATGGAGGCAAGAAGAGATGTGTTCAAGAACTTTGAGGAAAATAGCCATTCATCTGTTTCACTGAGGCACCTGCCTGGGTCCAGGCTGATAAGGGCAAAGCTGGCCCAGGGCCCAGCCACCACCCAGGAATAGGTCAGTGCTACAGGGGAAGGAGGGAGGAGCATGTAACCACTGCCTGAAGACTGTGGAGAGAAAGAAAACAGGAGTGCATGAGTTCCTATGTGAACAAGGACAGTTCAAAATCAGGCAGCAAAGCAGCTGGCAGGACCAGAGTGGAGCCTGGGCTTTGTCACAGATGTGAGGTGCTGGGATTGCACAAGTATTCAGCAGCTTTGGGCACTGGTGGCTCACACCTGCAGTCCTAGCTACTCAGGAGACTGGGATCTGAGGATCACTGCTTAAAACCAGCCAGAGGAAGAAAAAGTCCATGAAACCCATATCTTTCATTAACCACCAAAAGAGCCAGAAGTGGAACTGCCTTAAGAGAAAAAGCTAAAAGACAATGTCCCAGGTCCTGAGTTCAATCCCCAGGACCAGCACACAGATGAGAAAATAAATATCTAATAGTGTTGCTTCAACACCACAGTCCAGTCCAGATCTGCTGGACTGTAGGTCATGTTCAGTGTTGCACACACACAAATCTCTTTTTTGCATGTATGAATATAATTGGTTTAATTATGGCATTTTATACATGTGTATAATGTGCTTTGATCATATCTCTCCATTACTCTGTTGTCTCTCTCCTCTTCCTCTAAATAGTCCTCCTTCTACTTTCATGGTGTTTTTTTTTTTGGTCCGGTCGTGGGCTCTGAACTCTGGACCTGGGTACTGGGTACCTCAGCTCTTTAGCTCAAGACTAGTGCTCTACCACTTGAGCCACAGCACCACTTCTGGCTTTTTTTTTCTGTTTATGTGGTGCTGAGGAATCGAACCCAGGGCCTCATGCATGCAAGGCAAGCACTCTACCACTGAGCCACCTTCCCAGCCCCTTTCATGGTGTTTTTGTTGTTGTTTTGGTTGATCATGGGGCTTAAACTCAGGGCCTGGGCACTGTCCCTGAGTGCTTTTTTTGCTCAAAGCTAGTACTCTACCACTTTAAGCCACAGCTCCACTTCTGGTTTTCTGGTAGTTAATTAGAGATAAGTTAATTGGACTTTTCTTCCCAGGCTGGGTTCAAATCGTGATTTCAGATTTCAGCTGCCTGAGTAGCTAGGATTAAAGACATGAGCCACCACTGCCTGGTTTCATCTGTTGTTGTTTTTTTTTTTTTTCATCTTGAAAGATGATATTGTGTATTTGTCCTTCTACATCTGTCTTATTTCTCTTAACACGATGACTTCCATGAATTTTCCTGCAAATATGATTTGGTTCTTCTTTATGGCTGACTTATACTCCATTGTGTGTAGATGTACTGCATTTTCTTCATCTGGTGAAGGGCACCCCAGTTGGGTTGCATAATGTGGCTATTGTGAATAGTCCTTCAGTAAGCACAGGTTATATTTAGGTGTCTCAACTGTAGGTTGACTTAAGTTGCTGCACTCAGAAGTGTGGCTGGATTGTATGGGAGTTCTAGCGTTAAGTGTTCTGAGGAACCTCCATACTGATTTCCATAGTGGTTGCACTCATTTACATCCACTCCCACCAATAGAACATCAGAATTCCTCCTCCCCGGCCAGCTGTCCTCTCCAGCATGCTATCGTTGCTTCTTTTCTTGGTGGACAGTCTGACTAGTCTATAAATATCTAACCTCATAGTGTGAGATGGAATCTACTGAGAGTTTGATTGCCTTTCCCTGTACTCTGCCCACAGGTACATGGCCATTGTCCACCCCTTCCAGCCACGGCTCTCAGCGCTCAGCACCAAGGCGGTTATAGCAGGCATCTGGCTGGTGGCCCTGGCCCTTGCCTTCCCCCAGTGCTTCTACTCCACCATTACTGTGGACCAGGGTGCCACCAAGTGCGTGGTGGCCTGGCCCGAAGACAGCGGGGGCAAAACACTCCTTCTGTAAGGCCCTGGGTGTGGAGGGCACCGTGTATGACTCTGTGTGTACATGCTCACGTCTGTGTAGTAGGTACCTGTGGGTATGTACAGGACTCTGCAGGAATATATGGGATTATGTGAGTGTGCATTTTAAGACTCCTCTACTAACAATGGGGTCAAACCTCGTGAATCCATCCTTGGTTAAAAGTGTCTTTTTAGAAAAACCCTCAAGAGTCTTACATCTGCTCACTGGTTTGTTTGACTGGTGCTCTACCACTTGAGCCACACTTCCAGCCTTGCTTTTCATTTTGGAGATCAATTCTCATGACTTTTCTGAGTGGGCTGGCCTCAAATTTTCATCCTCCTAAGAAGCTAGGATTACAGATGTGAGCCACCAGCCTCACCTGAAAATACCTAAACTGGAAAGTACATTTAATGCACATCACTGAATGCCATTCTAGGTCAGTAACACAGCACACAGTGGAGTGTCAGCTGTCTCTCCTGCAGCCAACTGGCTTGCCACCACTGCAGCCTGCTGCTTGAGGGTGCATTAGCATGCGTCAGAAAAAGAGCCAGGGACACATGTCTTTACACTGTCTTTGCAAAAGGAGACAAAGCTCCGCAAAATAACCAGGTGTCCTCCCTGGGAACATGGTGGCCGTGTAGCAATGTTCTGAGCCACTGGCCTCAAGGTGAATGCAAAGGTGTTTGCTGACCCTAGGAATATTTCCAATCAAGTGCTGATGGACAGGAAGGGAAATGACATTGGTGTGTGCAGTGTGACAATTTTCCATTGCCCTTTTCCTGGACATGGACCCTTATTAGCTACAGCAGTTTTCTCTAGCCATCCAGCCACCCAGTCAGGTGTAGATTACATGTATCCTCTCCCTAATATATGTACATACATATGTGCATATGCATATATGTGCATAAACATTTTTACCTGTACAAACATGATTCCAGAAGAAAAACATTGTTAACAAGAATAGAAGCAGGGGGCTGGGAAGGCGGCTCAGTGGTAGAGTGCTTGCCTTGCATGCATGAGGCCCTGGGTTTGATTCCTCAGCACCACATAAGCAAAAAGAAAAAAGCCAGA